TACACCCTAGACAGGTCGCAAGTCCATCACAGGGACACATAGAGACAAACGAGAAAAACAACCATTCACTCTCTCACTCTCTTCTAGGGACAATTTAGAGTTAACAATCAGCCTAACATGCATGTTTTTGGTCTGTGGGAGGAAACTGGAGTTAACATAAATTAAAATAAATTAATTAATAAAAATTAAAAACAAGCTGCATCACACTTGATTAAATAAGATAAAACATTTTAGTGCCTTTAAGTAGCCATTATAGTTAACATCCACCTCACCTGGACATCTGGACAGGTCTCCAGTCCATCACAGGTTTTAAAGACATGTAAAAAAATGTTTGTCAAAAAAAATTTTTTTGAGGTGTGGTGGTTTAGAGGTTAGAGAAGGTGGGCCTGTGATTGGAAGGCCGCGGGTTCAACACTCCAGACCGACAACACCATAAAAAATAAAATAAAATGTGGGTGGGATAGGTTAAACACCCACACTTGTATCCACCCTCATTTGCCCTACTCTGGGCCCTTGAGCAAGGCCCTTAACCCCCACCATCTGCTCCCCCGGGTGCCCTGGATAACAGCTTTCTGCTCCACACAGAGGGCTGTGGTAGCTTGATGATCTGTGGTTGAGCCAGGAAGGACACCTGGCATAAAACCAAATGCTACTACTTTGTGTGAGTTAGTTTGCTGTGGCGACCCCTGAAGAAGAGAGCAGCCAAAAGAAGAACAAAAAAAGTTTGTCACTGGTGAAAAATGCACAAAGGTTTGTTTATATTTATTAAATATTTGTAACATAGAGATCTTTCTTTTGTGACTGAAATGGTATCCAGGCAGTCAGTGTTTTACACAAACCAACACTCAGATTGATTTGTTGTGCTCTGATAATCATATCTCCATCACAAAGAACATTGTCATTTGGAAAAACAATAAATAAATAAATGCTTATAACACATTGGGCAGTTGCTCTGAAAAATGTTTAATTTATTTTCAGCACATTTTCTTTATGTGTGTCATTCTGTCTCCTTATTTATTTGTACTCTGTGCTTAGATGCCTAAAGAGCAACATGGCAAGAAAGTTACAGGACAAAAAGGAATATTTGAGCAGAGAATAACGGACACAAATTATTTAATCCAACTAACCACTCAAACTAATGGCATCTTACTGGAATACATTTTTGTTTAAGTTCACCCTACTGCCCATGAATTGATAATGTCCTGCAAAACATTTTATATTTCATCAAAACATTGCTGCCTCCTCAAAAATGACTTGATTTGGACATTACTGTTTTATTTTATTTCATGCATTTATTTTTTTTTTGTCTTTCTGAGTTCATTTTACCTTGCTCGTTTATTGCATTCATGAACCACTGAATGGATTTTAATGAAACTTTCAGGCCATAATCAATGGATGTTCTTCTACAACTCAGTAACTTTTGGAGTCAGTCCAAATCAAGAGGACAACACTGTTAATCAACACTTGAAGAAACAGAAATGGCTATAAGTCAGTGAATGTTAGAATCTGTTGTGCTAAAAGTTGAAATTACTGACATATATTCTGATCTGGGCAGCACGGTGGCGCAACTGGTAGAGCTGCTGCCTCTCAGCGAGCATGTCCCGGGTTCAAAGCCCGGTCCGTGGGCCTTTCCGGGTGGAGTTTGCATGTTCTCTCCGTGCATGCGTGGGTTTTCTCCAGGTACTCCGGTTTCCTCCCACAGACCAAAAACATGCATGTTAGGCTGATTGGTGACTCTACAGGTAAATTGTCCCTAGGAAAGAGTGAGAAAGTGAATGGTTGATTGTGTCATTTGTCTCTATGTGTCCCTGTGATGGACTTGCGACCTGTCCAGGGTGTACCCTGCCCCTCGCACAGTGACTGCTGGACATGGGCAAGGAGGACCCCCGTGACCCAAAATGGAAGAAGCGGGTAAAAGATAATGGATGGATGGATGGATGGATATTCTGATCCTGACATGTGTGCATGAGATAGCTCATATCCTGATCACGGTTTGGCTAAAACAGGTGCTTTTATGTCATTTCTCAACATAAGATATCTTAGGATGAATCTCTGGCATGAAAGCCGACAAGTGAGGTCCTTTAACATTTAATCTGTTGATTCTTGGTCTTATAAAATATATTTTTGGGGTGTTTCTGTATTTTGTGTTTGTTTGTTTGCTTGTTTTTGCAAAACTCCCTCATCTGCACTTGAAGTTTATGTTTTATTGCTTTGGAGAGCAACCTTAGTCTCAAGGTGTATTAGCCCATATGTGACTGTTTTTTAAAGTCAAGCAAGATGATTTATGATGCCAGGAGTGAGCCATAACTGGAGCTGCTGGGTACTTGGACTCCTTTGACAGACATTGTTCAAACTTTGATGATAAAACTACACAATCACAGACAAAGTACAGCCTGAACAAACGTTCACATTTGTGTGTTCAATTTTTTATTCTGCTCTCCGTCTCAGACACTGCGCACCCTATCCATTTGACTGGGGTTCAGTCTCTTCCTAGAGGTAGACACGTCTCCTGGGTCATGATAATTTAATGTTTCAATGGTTTGACAAATAGCTTCAAGAAGCAGTGTGGACTGTGGGAGCTGGAGACAGCAGCTGGAAGGCTGCAGAGGGGGATCCGGAGACTGCTCTGCTCATGGTAACGTGCTTAGCTTAGACTCAACAGACCCATTGAGCTTCCTCGTTAGACATGAAGTCTGTTCAGTGTGATAGGACTCATCAATCCAAGACCAGCTTTGTAGCCCTGTGAGGGCTGCACGCCAGCTTTAAGGCAGATTATGTTGAGGTGTTGGAAGCAAACTGAAAAGTCCTAAAAAAACAGGCCTAGCATTCTTCGACGGCTGCCTTTCATGCCAGACTTTCAGAATTTTTATTTTATTTTTATTTTTATTTTCCCTGTATCTACTCCCTCTGGGACATCTTCTCCGGAAACATGGCATTTCTTTTCATTTTTATGCTGATGACAGCCAAATCTATGTTCCGTTAAAACAGGGCAAACACCATTCCTTGAAACAACTCCTGGGGTGTATGGCAGAAGTCAGAGCATGGATGTCACTAAACTTCTTACATTTTAATGACAAAAAGACAGAGGTCTTGTTGTTTAAGCCTAGTGAAGGCTCCAATATCCATGCTGATCTGGGTCCTTTAACAGAACATCTGACTGAGACAGCAACTAACCTGGGCGTGAGGCTGGACAGTGACTTCAAACTTGACACGCAGATTAAATCAGTGATCAAGTCCAGCTTCTTTCATTTGAGACAACTAGCCAAGGTCAAACCATTTCTGTCACAACATCATTTTCAGATCTTAATCCATGCTTTCATCACAACTCGCCTGGATTACTGTAATTCTCTTTATGTCGGTCTGAGCCAGTCATTACTGACTCGTCTTCAGCTGGTTCAGAACGCAGCTGCCCGCCTTTTAACTGGTACCAAAAAACGAGAACACATCACCCCTGTTTTAGAATCACTACATTGGCTCCCGGTTCGCTTCAGGATTAATTTTAAGGTTCTTTTATTTGTTTTCAAATGTCTTCATGGTCTCGCCCCACAGTATCTGTCCGACCTGCTCCAGCTGTACACTCCTTCTCGCTCTCTCAGGTCAGCAGATCAGCTGCTGCTGGTCGTCCCAAGGTCCAACAGGAGACTGAGAGGTGACCGAGCGTTCTCAGTCGCTGCCCCTAAACTGTGGAACGAGCTGCCTCTGCATGTCAGACAAGCTGGCTCACTTCCTGTTTTTTAAGTCTTCTCTGAAGACACATCTTTTCTCTTTGGCTTTTACTTCAGTTTGAAATGTTGGTTTTAATGACTCTAAGTTATTTGTTTTATTTTATTTGTTATCTTTATTTTATTTCACATTTTTAACGTGTGGGGTTTTTATGTTTTTGTATGTCC